CTCTCTTTCTTGTCGAAAGTTAGATAAGATGGTGGATACCACTCTCATGTCTGTATGGTAAATATGAAGCAACAGCCAGCAGCCAGTTAGCTTAGCTTAGCATAAAGACTTGCAATGGCCGAAGGCAACAGTATCCACCAATCAGCTCATTACATATTGTTTGTTTAATCTGTACAAACAAGTGTAAAAATGACAATGTGTGGTTTTACAGAGGTTTATAAGACTCCAGATGTTACTGGTCCCAGCAATTGTCCACTAGCATTTTTAGGTACATTAAACTAAGAATGGTATAAATTTCTTATCTAACTCTCAGCAAGAAGTAAAACGTATCTCCCAAAATGACAAACTATAAAGATTTTTTCCCCTCATGTCAATCTAATCTTCCCTTCCTGCAGCTTTATTAGTAAAGTAATAAATAATAATATTATTTATCAGTAAAATAATATTCAACAGAATGCAGTTGTGTGTGTGCACAAAATGTCTGTGTCTTTGTTTGTGCACAGCAGTATAGCATACTAGTGTAGTGTAATGTCATGTGTAGGTTGTCCATGTGGTTCCAGTAATGTGGATGTGAGCCTCTCCAGAACATCTGTCAAAGATTAGCAGTAAAGTGAAAAAGGCAGTTCCTGTTCATACGTTCCAAAATAATCTGGCAGTCATTTTCCCAGTGAAGAATGAAGGGGAGGGGGGGTTGTTATAGGTCAGAAACACTACACAAACCCAGCTCTGTCTAGGCATGTATCATGTGTTTCATGAAATGCAAGTGACTTGGATAGCTTGGAAATGATGGGTGTGGCAGCAACACACCAGGAGAAAGAAAAAGGAACTGTCAAACAAACAAAGAAATATTGTAAAAATAGCAGATAAATTCAGGACAGACTACATTCATTCCACCAGTGTGACCTTTAGTATTACCTTGGATGTCTTTGGAGCCTATAAAAATACAACCTGCCTCAGCCCTCGACTAGTAGGAATAAAAGCACTTACAGTACAAAGCAGGTACATCTTCACCTACAAACACTCTCATTTGCAGCATGGCATCCAGCTTGCTGCGACAGAATAGAAGGGCCTTCTGACTAAAAGCTCCACAATCAATGAAACATGAAGAATCCCTCAGGTACAAAAAGAGGATGACTTGTTATTCGGGGAAGCACGCTGTCATTCAAAGGCCGCACACGTCAGGGGGAAAGTGCTTGGAAGGCAAATCAGTGTTTGTTAATGATATGGGTCAATTGTTTTGAGGACGGCTGGACCTCTGTACTCATCTGTAGGCTTCATCAGTCACCTTTGGTAGAGGTTTTATATTCCAGGGTGCTTTGCCCTTGCGGAGGAATTCAGATGTGCCATTTTCGCTTTGAATAATACAGTCCTCTCTTGATGGAAATCTGTTAACACTTTATTCTGCATGTCGCTGACATTGTAGGAGCAAGGGAAGTGATTTAACTATCTGGAGTAATGCACTTCTAGCTATATACCATTTTCCCTCAGCAGCTGCATCTTTAATATACTGTATGTCTCACAGCTAAAATGCAATATCTTCTTGATGCCTAAATACATATATGTACTGTAATGCTTTGCATTGTCCCTTTGCTTAGTCTGTGTGAAAATGTGCTGAAAGTGTAGATATGTAAATAAATTGTACATGGCAATTAAAGTGAGATTGAAAGCCATTTAAAGGTTTTACAATTCTACAATGTGGGATGAAGGTTAACTCAGTGTGCAAGGCTCCACAACCAACTGACAAATACTTTAAATATTGTGCAAGGCAGATCGGCCACAAAGCAGATATGCCAAATTCATCACATGCTCTTGAAAAACAAATATTTTCAAAGCTGAGAATGTACATAGGGGATGCCTTATGATTGTGCTGAAGAATAATGTGCGTCAAAAGGAGATCAAAATGAAGCCTTAATCTATGGTAACTAGACGCCAAATTTCAAAATATCTCTGGGATTGTAGGAATGTCAGAAAGTCTGTGGCTGGGTGTGTGTGGGAGTGTGATTCAGGCGCAAACACATCAAGATGTCACTTCATAACCTCTGGCTCAGGAGGCTCCTGTCATCTTCACATTTCGGAGATCCTCTGCCTACCCCGGCAGACATGCTAAATATAGAATGGGGACAGAATTTCTGTTTGGAGCCACTGCTCTCTTTATCTACATGTAACACTAGCATGTGCGCACAGGCACTGCCATCTTCTAAATGTTATACACATGTACGCACGCATGCAGACACAAAGCATCAGCACACACACTAATGTTAAGAAATGACTGCGTTCCCTTGATCACTCACATTGCATTGCCTCATAGGTTGATGCTCAAATGAACATAAAACTCCACCAAATGAAGGCGCAGAGGTTTGAATCTCATATAGAAGCCACTCATTCTTTCCAATTACATTTCTGTCAAGTGACTTAAACTTTGTTATTACTTCTTGGACAGCCATTTTCAAATTCCCTCATTCAGAATAATTTAATTCTGGCACAGGGACAGATCCAATCCATCACTGGTCTCCTTTACCTGGCTGGATCTACCACATTGTTACTGAGTTACTCTACTTGACCTTGCTTTGTTTCTTCCTTTGTATCGACAGGGTTAAAGAAGCGAGCTACAGAACACTCTGTGGCAATTAATCGTGCTACTTATCTGTAATGTGAACAGTGGATATTACATCTCCAACAGATATTAAATTAAAGATGTCTCAGGACTTGTGAGGCCAAAGCCAAATAAAAAGGAAATGAGCCACTATTAATGACTATTGATTCTTTCATAATAAAACAGCCACTTCCTCTCTTTACTTGGCCTTGGTGTTGATCTTGAATTAATACAGGCTATAACTTCAGGAAAATGTTCTTCAGTCTGGCACAGCAAAGCAGCCTAGCCTGAAAAGCTAGATATCTCCCTGGTCAGGAAAAAAATGTGATTTTGGCTGACTGGCAGATATTGTGTTCTCGCATGAGAGACACATGACCCAGGTTGAAACTGCACTGGATATTCACCCTGATGATATCATTTTTCATCTGCACAGATTGTTTTATATAGTCATATCTTGTGACATGACAGGGGAAGGAGAAAATGCCTCACCATGGCAACAAGTCATTTAAAGCTCTAGGCATAAGCTGAGGTTTATTTTGGGAAAAGTGCACCATTATTATTTATAGCAATAAATTAGTAAATGTATATTTAATAAATAACCATTTAATTTAATGTGCAATGTGTTCAACTTGCCATTGCTGGCTCAGATGTGCCAGCTAAGAATTGGTTTTGTTTTTAACATCATCATCATCATCGTCATCATCATCAATAGTTGTAGGGGACTGGTATTTTGATTGTCCACATGTTTAGCTTGAATGACATCATTATCTAATACAACAAAGCTGCTAACTGAAACCAAAAAATGTGTTGGTATGCAGTGTCCACTGCCGAGTCAGCTCCTTTAGTTAAAGTGCAGGATCAGTGACCATCACCAGTGTGCACACACTGTGGATTAACTGGTTGCACAGTGTGAGCCTTAATAAGTCAGCATGTATACAGGCCTCCATCATATCTCCATCCTTCCATTTTCTATACTGCTTATTTTATTCAGGGTCACAGGGGACTGGAGCCTTTCCCAGAATGCATTGAGCAAGGGGCAGGGTGCTCACCTGAGAGGTCGCCACAATGTGTAAGTAACTGAGTAATGGGAGCTGAGGATAACAAACTCTTTCAGCATTTACAAGTCTACAGCACAACTCCAATAACACCAGCAGTATCTATAAACTATGGAATGAAAAATTTAACACAAATGATCGAGTCTTTTGTTTCTCTCCCGAATGCAACACCACGAACAGCCAGCACCATGCAGACTAGAGCACGACTTTTGGACTCAAACCAAAGCAGACAAGCCGCCAGCTTTTGGGTACTTTATTCCTCTGACTTTTACATAGGGGTTTCCAAACTGTTTCATACCAGGTACCCCTATTCATAGTCGCTCAGACTGTAAACTCCCCTTTGGAAAATGCTCATTTATCCCCAGTTACACCCAGCTAGGGAAATTCCACTGCAGGTGATGAGACAGCAGTAGGGAGTGTGAAACCTTTTACTGGAAGTCATTTTTACACACTGTCTCACAGTGTTACAGCAACTTCCAGTCAGTGAAGCCGCAGTGGAATTAAACAATCCCCCATTTAACTCTCCACCTGAAAATCCTTCAGGCCTTTGGTACTTTTCTGTAATATAGTAGTAATAACATAAGTATCAGCAGTAGTTGTCATCTGACATATTGATGTCATTGTTGATAGACAAAGGAAGCTTTAGATATATAATCAAAAGAAACATTTTTGATGGACCTTTTCAAGTTCAGTTTCATGCTGAAAAACAAATGATGTAGCCCCCCCAAAATTCAACATTCTTTCATTCTCAAATGACACACCAGGACACTTAAAATTGGGACAAACAGTAAGAAACAGCATACAGAAATGATCTAACCTTAGTGGTTACAGTATGTGCTACATTTGGAATTTTTTTGAATAAGAATAACTGTCAGTAGATGCACATACTCAGTCAATAAATCTGGACAGCAGATTTTAAGGGAGGGGTCAAGTGAACTTTTATCCCCTTTAAATTTTTCACCCTTTGAGAGCTCCCTGAAGTAGAGCAGCCTATGGTTTAGAAAGCAGGGATGAATTGTTCTTTTCCATTTTTTTTAGATCCATCGAAACATAAATAGCAACTTATTAACATATGCGCATTATAAAGTGCAAGGCTGGCTATACGAAATAAAAGAAAATAAATATATTCTGACATCATTCTGAATCGAGGCTGCAAACATTTGCCAGATGTGTCGTTAAGGACGTGTTAAACAATAGGCTACACATGTATTGAAAAAATCATTGCACATAGGCTATAATAACGGCTATAATCTAGTGTCCACAACGTCAGTGACAATTGTCAGATGAACGCGCTGCGCTGCTTTTAAATAAAATTAATTCATTATATTTTAAAGGAATGGGAAATGACTTACCCAGAAACAAAGAGCGAAATATTGCAGACATCACGGCTGGAAATCCCATAAGCAACGGAGCTGGAAACAATGCGCTCAGACTGCCTTCAAATGCATTCGGCTGACCTAAGTGCAGGCACAACGAAGCGGCACCATCAGCAAATTGAGGAGCGAAATCACAGACAAATAAACCTTCATTGAGCATATGAGTCCAAGGACATCATATGTTGCACACGCCCGACACATCTAAACCTCCCAAGAACAAGAAACGTGGCTCTTTCTCTTCATCGTCATTTTCATCGCAGGCTACTTGGCGTCAAATCAAAGTTCCCTGGCTGTCTGGCTCTGGCGTGGGACGTGTTGTCTCAGGGTCCCCTCTGTCTCCTCCTCAGCAGTCTCTCCTCCTTTCCTCCTCCGCTGCACAAAATGCCAGAGAGGAGGAGGTGGAGGAGGAGGAGGAGGAGGAGGGCGAATAGGTGGATGATGAGGGGATGCTGAAGGATGGAGACCTCTAGAGTCTGAAGTTCTCTTACACAGCCTGAGCATCCTGCAACAAACACTAAAAGGCTGGGTGAGAGGAAGTGAGTACTCTTGTAAGGTGCTGCAGGCACGATTCCTTTGATATGAAGTTGCCTTTAATGAAAATGTTATGAGCAAGTAATCGTACTCTAAAAAAGAACTGCATGTAGCGTTTAAAGGGAGTCAATGGTGAGTTCGTAAGGAGCTTATATGTTATTTTTAACTTAATTTTCCCACATAACTACTACTAACAAAGGGACAGTTTTAAGCAGGCCTGTCACTATTACATTACTTTAATAATATACATGATTGTCCATAGTTAGCACTCTATGTATCAATTGATTAGCTGATTGACAAAAAAAACAAGTGGTGACTATTTTTGAATCAATTATTATTTAAACAATCTTTTAAGCAGTTTTCAAATGTAAAGATTTGCTGCTTTTCTTTGTCTTATATATTCATACACTGAAAATCTTTGAGTTTGTCAAAACAAGCAATCTGATGACATCACCTGAGGTTTTGTGAATATGTTATTCTGTCATGAATTCAGAAAATGATCAGCTGAGGAAGTGATAATCAATATAATTGTTATTTTGCAGACTTAGCATTATGTTTGTATAAATTCGTCATTGACAGTGATACAGTTATTTATTTATAATAAGAATTTTGAATGTCAGGCTAACCTGGTGTGATTTTACATCAAGAAACAAGAAAAATGGCGTGTTTTAAATTTAATAGCATGACGTATTTTCTTGGCTATTTATATTATGCAGGCTATGATGACACATGCATGTGATCAAAGGCTCGGTTAAACATCTGTTTTGAACCAGAAGGCATATTTTTGTTTGTTTGCCATTTTGTATTTGTCCACCAGCTTCTCAATCTTGTTTCACAAGAGCAGCATGGTCTAAGTTAGATAAACAAACACCAAAAGGGGGAGTGCTGCTGTCTGCTGATGGCTGCTCTTAGACCTTGAGACAAATTAATCCCCCTCCTCTGTGTCTCAACAATCTACAGAAATAACAAAAGGGTTTTCACTCGCCAGTGGCCCCTCTCGCTCTCTCTTTCCCCCTCGAGTTGCCTGCTCTTCAGAACTAGTCTTCCTCCATTCCTTTCCGTTCCAATAACTAGATAGCTTGAAACAATGTCTCACATGCACGAGCAGACACGCACACGTGTACACTCGGCCTCTCTTTTTCTCTCTTTCACAACGCAAACACACAGACACAAAGAAACACATGTTCACAGGGACCAGTTGATGAGACGCAAGAGGTGCAACTACTACATAAATCCAGATGTTGCGAGAGGTAGATAAGACACGATGAGGCGATGTCTTCACTCTTGTGTGGTCGGGGTATTTCGTTTTTTTTTTCTTTGCTTGTGTTTTTTCTGTTTATCTTTGTATTTCCAGCTGAATATAAAAGGTCACGGTCTCATTGCAACTCACATCTGCAGTAGTCAGTATTCACAGAAGTCAGCTGCAACATAAAAGCAAAAACAATTCTCAACTGTTGCAATATCAGCTGTCAAATAATGATGGATGGCTGGTTGTAAGATACATGTTTGCCCCTGCAATCACCACAGCCCTACTGTAATCTAAATTCAGATAAAAACACATGATTGAAAACGCAACTGATAGCCAACATGAATTACATCTATGTTCAATTTTCCCCCTAAAGCAGACTTCTCTACAGAAAGATGATGATCTGGTGGCCTGGTAGAGTATGCAGCTGCACAATATGTTACACAGCGCTGAGGTTATCATGATAGCTCCTTTAAAAGATGACCTCACTTATCTATGAACAGATGACAACACTACATAAGATATGGGGCAGATCCATTGTTAATAGAAGTGATTCTTAGATACGTTACTGTCTCATGTGCAGTGTAGATAGTGCCACGGGAGGCAACTTGTCTGCATTTGGTGGCTTGGCCTTGGTGCATGATATAGCACCCCAATGCAGATGGCCTCACAGATGGTTGATATTTATACCACTGGGCCTTGAAAAGTCACTAGTGTGGAAACTGCTCTTTCTCCCTGATTAGTTTCACATCACCAAGAACACAGCAATCTCCACACACCCATTTCTCACTTCACCCCAAAGATATTTCCAGTTTATGAAATGTATTATAAGACATTAGGAGAAATGTACGTTGTTTTAGAAGAAATATCATTTGCCATGTGGGCTGCCCCTTTTTGAGGTGACGACAATCATGTGTTGGGACTCTCCCTCCTTTTTTAGCACATGAAAATGTAATCCTCCTAAGTGCAAAGTCCATGATTTTTTAAAAACTTTTCCAGACCCAACACGGCTTGCATTTTAGCTGGGAGCACTCTTGACTTATGTACTTTAAGTGGATTTGCAATTTAAATTTGGAGCAACAAGACGCACCTCGGATTTCCTAGCAGAGACGGGGCGCTTTCGGTGAGAGTGCTCCCATCCGCCAGAACAGCTGTAACTCCCTCATCATGACATCACAGGGACGTGTTAGTGTTTTGTTGACGCACAGACGACACCCTGCAAAAACACACGAGCACGCCAAGATGCCTACGCTTTGGCCACCTCTCTGTCCTGACCTCAGGGAATGAGAGAAGTGGATAGTTAAAAGGATTCTTGAGTAACACTATGAATGTGGAGACAAGAAAAAAAACTCTTTTGTTTAGGCCTCTCTATTTTTAGCAACCAGTGTGTTGCTTCGCCCTTTGTGTTTCACGGCTCGTAGATCCTTTATAATTTAATGAGGGAGATGGCGGCCCTCACAGATTTATTGCGAGCATCTCAAGACGGCATAGGCCACTCGGCTTATTGATCCAAATAGGATGTTGGTTTATGGGTCCAGCTTTTTCCTCCTGCCCACTTCAGAAAACATTCAAATTGCAGCTCCTTCTTAAACCAATAAAATAAATGTACTCCAGGTCAATGTTCATTATTTTAGTCTCTCTTTAAACATACAGCAGATCCTGACAGTCAGTCAGAGATGTGTTAAACAGTAGTGCTACGTAGCGTGGAAACACAGCCACGGATATAAAGAGCCCTATGAGACCACTGTAAATGTTTTGTTACCTTTTTAAATCTCGCATGCACATATGCCTAATAGATCTACAGGACAAATTAAATTCTCAGACCAGAAATCACACAGCACATTTTATTTCTGTATTTTACATATTTACACATATAGAACAGATGCTAAACTGCCTCTTTGATCATGCAATGTTTAGACAGATTGTAGTCTGCATTCTTTGTTTTGCCATTACTACAGATCAGTTGTAATCTGTAATAAAGGAGAAGGAGCAAATGCCCTTTTTAGACCGCTTCCTGTCATCTCCTGTTCCACATTCCCGTGAGCGCACTCGTCTCCTTGTACTGTAAAGCCCAGTGAGTTCAAAAGTGGATGTTCCTCCTCAATTTATTCATGAGCCTTTCACGGGGAACATGAGGCAGAGAAGGATAGAGTTTAAAAACATGTTATCATGCTCTAATTAAAGGCGAGGCAGACGACTGAATCGCATCCAGGAACCCAACAGCATTCGCGGTTTCATTTTACATCTGTTAGTCTGTGGTGAAAAGGTAAATGAAGGAACTGAATGGGAGTGACTGAATGAATGACTGAATGAGGGAATTCATCAAGCAAAGCAAGAGTAAACGGCACACATGATGGTATCATTTGCAGGAGTGAAATAAGACTGATTGTTGGTTATTTTAAATCGTGTGACTCTGTCTTTGGGAGAAGTAATAATGTTAAATTGTTGCCCGCTCCAGTCCAGGATAAACAGATCAATCACGTTTGAATATAATTTTCACCACATCGCACGCTGCATTAGAATTTGTTTTCCTCCAACACTGGCATTTTCCACACCAGCAGTTACAGGAAAGTGCCTGTCTCTGACATGCAAAAAATAAAAATAAAAAATCATATACATTTTTAATTAGAGGAGGTGGTTTGGGCTATTTAGGCATGGATTTTCAAGTGTATGAGAACATGAATGAACACCGCGCTGCCATCATCAAGCTGTCATATGTAACATTAGAGCTGAAATCCAACTGCAATAATACAATAATAAGTCTTTAGAAATTAGTTTTACTCAACATAAAAAAGCACCTTAATCAGTCACAGTTATGCCTGTGTGGAAAAAAGATAATTTTTAAAGCTGGCCCTGACAAACAAACCTAATTTTGGTAAAACAAACTAATTGTAAACAAATTTTGGAATTATTTCCATGATCTACTGATAACAAAAATACAACCAGAGCCTACATAAAATCTTCTGTCTCTCACTTTACTACACAAAACCACCATCTCTGTTCTTTTGAAGCCTCACCATTCAGTGAAGACCTACTTTTCTGACAGATGAGCTCATATGAATGAAAAACTGTGGCAGCTGTATAACTCAACCCCTCCGACCACCGTTTACAGACTTATGGAAAATGAGAAAACATGTGTATGCTTATTACCAGGACATTTGACTAGCCTTTGTGGGGAGCTTAGTACACCACACTGAACGAAGAAAAGTAGCTGATTAGCATCGGATGGAAACGTAAATTGAATGCCTTCTTTGTCATTGATCTCTTTGCCTCTTCAGGTTTATTGACACAGGATGGAGAGCTCCCTATCCCATTTTCTTTTAGCAACACAAACAAGGCAAGCTTAATTGAAGAAAAAGAGGAGTGAGCTGGTGGGCAGTAGGTGATGTGCAGAGGGTGTTTGTTTGATTTGGTTGATTTTCAAAATCAACCCCCCCCGTCCAAATTCCAACCACAACCTTTACGACTGCTGTCCTTTCCTTGATGAAGTGGTCTCCATCCTGGTCATTGGGGAAATGAGTGATGTGAGCCATATGGTGGTGAAGAGCTAGTGTAAATCAGCAAACGCTTTGCATCATACTGTACGTCAGGTGTGTGTG